TTTAAAATGTTTTTATGGGCATTACACCCCACACATAGATTGTGTTTTCTGTGACCATATTTATTGTTTGTAATCATGCACATGTTATATATGACTAACGGTGACTAAATTTGTTTTCAATGTAACCATCTAATTTGTGACGTGTGTGACCTAGTTACTAACATGTATTATTTGTTACTAACTATGACCAAATTTATCTTCAGAGTGTCTGTTTATGATCAAGTTAATCTTAACTGTGACAACATGTGAACAAATCACAATTGACACAAATTTGATCACAACCATTCACAATAAACACATACTTTGTCACATAGGATCACCACAAATAAATTTACACACACCACAATCCACTATCACTAACATGTTCAACTTAATTTCACGACCATAAATACTACCTTCATAGACACATGTTCTCCATGATTTACTGTAACAAAATTTATCTTCAATGTGACTATCTGTGATCAAATCAGTTTAATTTTGTGAGTATGTAAACAAGTCACATATAGTCACAGTCAACATAGATCTGGTCATATACAATCACAATGAAGTTATACTTGGTTATACTCGATTGCCATCAACACAACCATTCCAGCACTACCATCACTCCCAACAATGCTATGAACCAAACGTGCACCACCACATCACGACCACGGGCACCCACCAGCAATAGATCCATTGCCGCCTAACTTGTCTATATTTTTTAACCAACTATACACCTATATTTAATTAGAGCTGATCAGGATATGCCTGGTTGGAGCAAATAAACCCTGAGTTTGGGAAATCATAATAAGCATATTCATTATTTGTCCCTGAATCCCATCTCGAATCCAATAAATAGTAGTTTTTTTGGTGAATATGAATTGTTCGGGTAGAGAAGTATGAATTAAATACTAGGGAAGATCAATCACCTGAAAAAACCTTCCCTCTACCCATAAATGCACGCGAATGTTAGAGCTGGACCCTCGACAAACACAAGCAATTTTGTGGTTAGGAGAGTGTTTTTGGCACTAAGTGCAACACAATTATGCATTCGATCTTTGTGAGCCCAAATATGATGAATCATCTTTAAGACTCGACCATTGGTTTAGTAGTCCGATTCCCTTGCAAACTTACATGTCTACTTCATTTCTCATTGGCGCTCCAATGATTTTTATTTGACATTTCTTTTCTACACACTTTGACAAACCAGACATGTCTACTCTGTAGCCCTTTTATCTTGTGCATTAAATTTTCATTGGTATTTCCTCGGATGTCAACTCAAGTTGTGGGCTTGCTAGAGTTTCAACGTGCAATTATTTCTAAAAATCAATACATGGAAGACATTATGCACCTTGCTTAGCCTTGTTTGTCTCTCTTTTTTTTTAAATAAAATTCTTTAATTCTCAAACTCATTTTCAATCATATATTTATATAATAAAATATTTTACATGTAAATCCAAAATTTCTCCTTACTAAAAAACTACACATTCTCTAAAAATCACTTTTCAAAACTCTATTTTTCAAAATAATGACATCAAACATGGACTAATGATGTTATGGAGTAATTGTCCAAATGGTAACTAAATTTTGCAAAAAAATTTCAAATGATCACTGAACTTTAGAAATCACCTAAATGGTCACTGAACTTTGCAAAAAGTTTCTACGAGATTACTGAATTTTAAAAATCACCTAAATAAAAACTTTTTACAAAGTTCAATGATCTCGTGAAATTTTTTTGCAAAGTTCAGTAACCATTTAAGTAATTTTTCAAGTTCAGCGACCCATTAAAAACTTTTTACAAAGTTCAGTGACCATTTGAGCAATTCACTAGATGTTATGTAGAGCCAACTTATAAGACACTCTTTATCCCACTTCATTTGTTTCACAACGAATCTCATAGAAATATAGAATGCACTATATGAATAACATGTACTTTGCAGCTCATTCTTAATAATAATTGATTAGCCTTAAAGCACATAATAATTACGAGATTACTGAATTTTAAAAATCACCTAAATAAAAACTTTTTACAAAGTTCAATGATCTCGTGAAATTTTTTTGCAAAGTTCAGTAACCATTTAAGTAATTTTTCAAGTTCAGTGACCCATTAAAAACTTTTTACAAAGTTCAGTGACCATTTGAGCAATTCACTAGATGTTATGTAGAGCCAACTTATAAGACACTCTTTATCCCACTTCATTTGTTTCACAACGAATCTCATTGAAATATAGAATGCACTATATGAATAACATGTACTTTGCAGCTCATTCTTAATAATAATTGATTAGCCTTAAAGCACATAATAACTCAATACTCTAAAAACATTGTCCATGTCTTCGTAAAGGGACCGTCCCTCTGTTTACCTCTCTAACAAAGTGATATTTTCCTCTAACAAAGGAATATATTGGAAGCTGTCCATTAGTTGCTAATTTTCACAAGAGTTCCTCCCATAGCGAACCTGCAAAACATGCAAACTGAAGTGAAAGTGCATTAGCAGAACAGGAGACACCAAGCAGGAAGAGAAAGAAATACAAGATTTGTTGTGGGGAAAGGTAGCATGGAAAAAAGAGAGAAACGACTGAGTGATACTTCAGTAAATTCAACTGGAGACTTTTCAAATATAGATTGAGGATCTGTATTTGCTATTATAAGGGTGTAATATCTGAGAATCTTGGCAAATTAAAAATGACAACTAAGCCAGTACAAAGATTTTCAAAGCTATGTAAATCTCTATAAGAACAGATGTATGTTTCTGAGAATATAAGCAAATTTAGGAAATCAAGAATTCATTGATTAACCCACAATGCTTAATAATTGATTTTAAGACAAAATTATTGATTCCCACGGGTATTGAAATTGGACTGAGTGAAAAACTCCTAGTAAATTTCCTTAATTAGCTATTGAAAAACAACAAAAGCCCTTCTCTTGTTTAGATAAACAAAAATAGCTCTAACTATAGAGAATTATAAAGGCAGCTTAAAATAATAAACTTAAATCAAAGCAACGCGATTTAGCCCTCGCAAAGACTAAACCACAAATCACTTGGATTGCATCACAATTCACAAATACCATTGTAGTACTTCTAGCCAAATTTATCACATGTAATGAAGAAAATAACAATAGTACCATGAACAACAACTTGAACTTGTCCTAATTAACTGTACCATCATTCACTGAACCTCCAATCACAGCAAGGCAAGAGGCTCACCCAAGAATGATGCTGTCAATATTCCTGATTTTTACGAGAGACTTGCTTACATGACTAACAAGTCCCTGGCCTTTAAGGAATCAGGTTCTATAATTAATGAAGGTTAGTTGGGAGTCCAGAAGAATTCCTAACCAGTTAGAGACAATTTCAGTGTCTAATTCTTTTGGTTCGAAATAGATATTTACCCACCAAAACTGTGGGGGGGTGTAGACATGATTGAGAATATGAATTTCAGATTCTTATCGTCTTCTCTATATACAAGCAACAATCATTCAAATAAACAATATGTAGTTGACAAAGACTTAAAGCACTCAACACATATGCAAGAATCCAAAACTGCACGATAGCAAGACCAACTTAATAAATCCAAGATATAGGCATTTAACAAAACAGTAAAGGTGACAGAGATAACTAATACTTCAAACCATTGACCATTCTTACAAATCTTCTAAAGGTGCATTTAGACAAAAGTGAACGGTATAGGCACACAAGAACTAGAATTTGGAAAGACAAGAGAACGAAATACATAATTCATGTGATTTTTCCAATTCCAAGATTGTAATTTTTAATACTAGGAAAGACAAGGTAACAATTTAAGATATTAATAAAACCCATTTTATGGATCAATAGAAAAATGATAGAGAAGTAGAGTAAGCATATGATCTGGAAACCCATTTTATGAATCAATAGCAAAATGACAGAGAAGTTGAGTAAGTATATGATCTGGAAAACAAATCAATTTTCAAGTTTAATAAGTACAAAAACTGAGCTAAAAGAAACACGATTTTATCCTCCAGGATAGACCAATTTCTATATTATTCGTCAATCTATGTCATGGAGAACAGAACCATCATCAGAAGAAGCATATATTAAACCATATATAGGGTCGGGTCGGCCCAGCGTAGTGGGAAAAGGAGAATAGAATCTCACTTCAGGAGGATAGGTGAAAAGGATAGAATTCTTCTCCATTATTGAGCTGAATAACATATAGTTGCTCTGTCAAAGATCGAACAAACAAATACCTTTTCAAACACGGACACATCAATCATTAAATGACCAAATTTCTCAAACAAAAAATTCTAAACAGCGTAAAATATCAGCAAATCAACCCCAAAAAAAATTGTCCAAGCTAAAATTAGCTCGAAAACGAACAAACTAAACCAAAAAATTAATTAAATTCGAAAAATAAATATAAGAAGATAGACACGTTATCTCAGTGACGGACTCATCGACGAGGTGTTCAATGGAGTGTCGTTTCGTAGATTTCACCCTTAGTTTCTGCATTTTCCTCTCACGAAATTTGAAAATGAGATTCCTGTAATCTGAAAAGTGATTCAGAAGAATTAGTAGTGGGCCTACTGGGTAGATTGTTATATAATGGGCCGTGAAATTAGCCCACTATTGGTCTACTACTCTATCAGGGCAGCATGGGATTCTCTGTATCACGGTCAAAATGATAAAACTTACACGAATAGCACCCCGATTATTTTTTATTCTTTTGGAGACTCTATATTAGCACCATATTCGATAATTTTGAAGAGAAGATGAACTTCACATTACTTTTTTATAGTTGATTTTTCTTTTCCAATTTGACAAATTTAGAGTTGCATCACCCTTGTCAAATGTTAATTGGAGCTGAAAACTCTAACTAAGGGATGTGTCTGTTTGAATGCAAAAGTTGAATTATTCAGAAATTAATTTCTTTAATCCAATAAAAAAATTGTCTAAATATTCACGTGTATGTTATATCAAGAATGAAGGATTCAAATTTTTTATTTAAATTTGATGGTCAATTCTCGAATTATTTTCGAATCACGAACTTTCAACTTTTAATTCTAAGAACTTGATGTTTCAAATCTCTAAGTATTCTATGCCATTCTCTAAAGATAAGATTACACCGGTGGACGGACACTTTCTTTTAATCAAATTGAGAAACTAATTCTTGAACTAAACAATTGAATAAAATGGTAAAATAAATATTTTCTCCTTGCAAATTTGATCACTATGAAATTATGTATTATAATTGTTGTAGGAATTTTAGGTTAAATCTATTCTCTATTTATAAAATAATTCCAATCATTGTACAATAATAATTTCATGCTCAAATAGAAGTTTTAATTAAAATCTAAGTAAGAGTTTTAATTAAAGTTCAAATCCAATTAGTTTACATTTAATTAATCTGTAGTCATAGTACTTCAATTATAATTACAATACAATTAAGTTTACAACTTTCATAGTAATTAAACTAAGTACAAAATTTTATTATAATTACAATCAAAACCAAAACTATTATAACTATCGTAATTAAATCTCAATATTTTATAAAGCTAACACAAGGGTCTGATTGGACATATATTATCGAAGCTCTAATAATTAAATCATATCTAGTCGACTCTAGACCACTCAATCTAATTATTAGTCTTTGTTTTTTTCACTAAAGATAAAAGATTGAACTCTTGGAATATATAAAATCACAAAAGTCAATAAATCTGTAATACTTTCTTCTGACATTCTGTATATGTATTTTATCCCGTCTGAGATTCGATAATTAGGTACAAATTTAAATAACAATTTTGCCCTTCTAAGTATTCTAACTAACTTAAACACCGTTTTCTTCAACTGTCATGCGAACTAGTCACAGATATTAAAATTTAGTCATCACAAAATATTGAGCTCAAATTTTAACCGCTCAATAAAATATACTTAAGTAGTCACTCTATTCATTTTTCAGAGCCACGATTCCCAATAGGAATTCATGTTCTTTACTTCTCTCATTCTCAAGTTCTCAACTCATCAAGATATTTAACCAATCAAATTGATCTCACTCATTGATGAATCAAAAAATTATTAAAATCACGAAAAGATATACACAACTCTATCAAGGAATTTAGATGAAATATGCAACGAACAAATGAAATTTAATTCTCCGCACAGTCATGTTATAGAATTAAACTTAACACGTGGTCCGTTTAGTACACTCCGCGTGTACTAGTTTTCACCTTTTACTGTTTCTTTGATAATAACAAATTACAAACTTGAATACTAAATCGGTCAACACTACAACCCTTCGATACAAGGCGCCAAACTTTATACATTGATTGTAAATAAATTATATGTGATCAAAATATAAGTTATTTCACACTGTATTTTTCAACTCAAGGACCCAACTTATATTATAACTAGTCTATTGTCTATGCAATGCACGGGCAGATTATTTTGAACGTCATATTAACACTTTTAATGTTGATATGAGTTTAGCGTTTAAAGAAAAAGTGAATCAATTAGTTATAAAAATAATAATTTGAGGTAAGTCATTTGTGATATTAATTTTGAAATTGAATGATTCAATATAGCAATGATAAAAATGAACAGTTTAGTTTTGTACAAAGAAAAACAGTAACTTCCATCAGTAGAGAAAATTGAAATAATTTTAATCAAACAAATTTATATTGAAAAATTTTGAATAGAAAAAAATTTCTCCTTTGGAGGAGAGAAAAACAGCAATTGAAAAAATTAAGTTCAATCGTAAAGAGAAAATAATTTTAAAAATTTTAAAAATTTATCTATAATTCGAACAAAAAAATTAAAAAAATAAATTAATTAGTAATTCCACCAGTGGAAATATTGAAATAATTTTACATTGGAAAATTTTAAATTGACAAAATTTGCAATAGAAAAAAATATGTCATTTGAATGAGAGAAAAACAATAATTAAAAAAATTAAGTTTAATGAGAAAAGAATTTAAATAAAAAAAATTATCTATAATATAAACAAAAAATTAAATAAATAAATAAAATAAAATTTTCATTCATTGAAAGCAGAGTTTCTTTCCTTTCAAAAGGATAGAACTCTTTTTTTTTTTTTTTTTTCCTAGAACTCTAATTTTAAAAGGAGAGAATCTCTCCATCCGTCCACCGAGTATTTTTTTTCTTATTTTTTATTTAAATTTGTTTTGTTCATATTATATATAATTTTTATTTTGTATTTAAAATTCTTTTTAATTCTTTTCTTTTTATGATAAAATTTATTTTTTAATTTTAATTAAATAATATTAATATATTCTTTGTTTCATTTTTGTAACTTTAATTTGTTTCATTTTTTTTAATTACATATTTTTTTTAAGTTTATTTTGTTCATATTATAAATTTATTTTTCTTTTTAATTCTTTTCTCTTTATAGGTTAGGCACATTTTCTCTCCTTAAAGGAACTACAAATGGATTATAATGCGTCTTTGAACCATTGAACAAATTAAAAATCCTTTTTGCAAATGCAAACAACAACGAAATTGTAAACACTACTAATTGAACCAAAAAGACTCCAAATATTTCCAAAGCAAACTCTTGTAAACCTCATTAAATATAAAAACAATGATCGAAAAATCTAAGCTTCTCAAATAGATAAGGGTAAAGAAAGAAAGACCTAGCTAACTTTTACACACTCAACCAAAAATAAAAATCATATATTACGATAAATAAAGTTGAAGAAAATAAGAAATAAATCTACAAGAAAGCAAACATCCAACAAAAACATAAACTTCATAGCTATATACAAGGAAAAAAGTAAAACTAAAGTTAGATTTTCCCGTATATACAGAGACAATAATATACCTCACATTTAGGTAGAGGAAGATGAGCCAAGCTAAATTTTCATCTATATACAAAAATAAAAACTACATAACTTAAACTAAAAAAACGAAATATATATATTTGCAAGAACGTATCCAAGATAATCGATACAAATTCTACGGTTTTCTTTCCTACGATTGAGATGAGGACTGCGCGATATTTTTTTCCCACAGAAAGAACAAAAATTTGGAGAGTTTTTTTCGTAAATGAAAGCTGGACTTTTGGACAAAAATCGATTGAATTGAAGGAGGGAGAATGAGTGATTTGAAAGAGTGATAGATGATATATTTCTTTATATTTTTTTATAATATAATAAAAAAATCAAACCACTTTAACCAAACCCATTTCAAACCAGTTGAATGTGAAAACGCATGTGAGAAAAATGAGCAGTCAAGCTTTGTGCAAAAAAAAAAAAAAGTAATTTCTACTTTCACCAATAGAAAAAATTGAAAAAAAATTTAAATGTAAAAAAAAATTAATATTGGAAAAATTTTAAATAGAAAATTTTTTTTAAGTTCAATTATATATAAAGAGAACTTCAATAAAAAAATTACTATAACTGAAAATTTTTAAAAAAAGGGACTCTATGCATGAAGTGAAAACTCACTCCGTGCACAGAGTGAATCACTACGTGCATAGAGTGGATTTTTCATTTTTTTTAAAATTTATTTATAGTAATTTTTTTACTAATATTTAATTTTAAAAAATTAAATATATCTAAATATTTACTTAAAAATGTTGAAGTTAATATATATATATATTTTTATCTATAAGTAGCTTTTATAATTAAAAGCCTTTTTTTATTACTTTTAAGTGTAACTTGAAGTGATTTTTTTACTTATAGGTAACTTTATACATTTTAGATAGTGTAATCTTTTTATTAATATTTAATTTAAAAAACTAAATATATCTAAATATTTATACTTAAAAAATTTTAAATTAATATTTTTTACTTATAAGTATCTTTTGCAATTATAAGAGAATGAGGATTAATATATATATATATATATATATATATATATATATATATATATATATATATATTATTTTTTTTTTACATATAAGTAGCTTTTAAAAAAAATTATACTATCTAGAAAGTAAAAGTTGCTTATAAGTAAAAAAAGCACTTCAAGTTATTTAAAAGTAATAAAAAACTTATAATTGTAAAAACTGCTTATAGGTAAAAAAATATTAATCCCTCATTCTCTTATAATTGTAAAAAGCAACTTATAAATAAAAAACATTAACTTAAAATTTTTAAGTATAAATATTTTATATTTTAAATTAAATATTAATAAAAAGATTACAATATCTAGAATGTAAAAATTTAATTATAAGTAAAAAAGTCACTTCACATTATTTAAAAGTAATAAAAAAAACCTATAATTGTAAAGGTTACTTATAGATAAAAAAAAAAAAAAATTACTTTCAACATTTTATTAGCTTTTACAATTATAAATTTTTTATTGCTTTTGAATAATTTGAAGTGTTTTTTATTTATAAGTAACTTTTTACATTTTAGATAGTGTAATATTTTTTATTAATATTTAATTTTTAAATTAAATATATCTAAATATTTATATTTAAAAAATTTTAAGTTAATATTTTTTTACTTATAAGTAACTTTTACAATTATAAGTTCGTTTTACTTTTAAATAACTGGAAGTAATCTTTTTAGTTATAAG